AAATCCTGACATCTGAGGTGACCCCATGGAATGTCATCATTAGTGTCCCTGACTCAGAGACACTGGACACCATCTTGTTGAGCCTCACACAGTGTAGCTGAGGAAACAAGTCCAGAAAAGACTTGCACCACCCACCATACTTCATCATAGATGGCACAGCATAGGTCCCCAGCAGGTTGGGATGAGCTGTGACTAGAAGGCAAGGGCATGGGTTCCATGTTCCAGCAAGTCCCTGCTGGGATGGGTATCTTGGGTCACAGAATCAAGAACCACCAGGAAATGTACCATTGTGGGGCTGGTTGTACTGGAATTCCAAAGAGGAAGTACAGTCCTCCCTGGTCTCCTTCCAGGACCCTGAAAATACCAAAATTTGCAAATGCTCAAGTCATTTATATAAAATGCCATGGTATTTGCATGTATGTAATTGTATGTAATCCTATGCAAACCTTATGCAATCCTTCCCTACATTTTAATCATCCCTAGATTACTTATATCTAAAGTAATGTTAATGCTATAAATAGATGTACTGCATTGTTTAGGAAATAATGATAAGGAAAAAGTCTGTGTGTGTTCAGGCTAGATGCAACCATAGTAAGTTTAAATTTTCTATCCCAGGTTGGTTGAATGCAGAACTCATGGATACCAAAGGCCAAAACAAAGGATATATGGCTGGAGCAGAAGGAGGAATGAAACTTAAATCTCAATGCTCTGCCCTGGGCTAATCCCCAGCAGACAAATAGATGTACTATTTAGGAAATAATGATAAGGAAAAAGTCTGTGTGTGTTCAGGCTAGATGCAACCATAGTAAGTTTAAATTTTCTATCCCAGGTTGGTTGAATGCAGAACTCATGGATACCAAAGGCCAAAACAAAGGATATATGGCTGGAGCAGAAGGAGGAATGAAACTTAAATCTCAATGCTCTGCCCTGGGCTAATCCCCAGCAGACCAAGTCCTACCCAGTTGAATGTGTACTTGCCATCCGTGGGTGCCTTAGATCCATGGGAGGTGGTGCAGAGCAGTCTAAGGAGGCACTAGGGCTACGAGGCCAGGATGGAGCTTAGCCAGGGCAGGGTAGGAGCTGAGCAGGGGCTGTCTGAGTCTGAGGACAAGGTTCAGCCTGCACTTAGGTCTAGCCCCTGGCTTAAGTCTAAAATCCCATGGGGTCCTGAGAGTCTCAGGACATGAGACCGTCACTGGTTCCCTCATGGGAAATTCATCAGTCTGGGTTATATCTTCCCTAGCCTTGGGCCCTATTGGCCCCCCTGTGTGGTGCTCAGGAAGACAGGTATGGGGGCTCTTGATCCCATGGTGAGTCTCAAAGAGGAATCCAAAGCCACAGCAGTGTGGGTGACAAGGCTGCTTGGGAGTACCCAGCTTAGACTTTGCAGTCCAGTTACATGAGTAAGTAAGTCACGGGGTGTGTGGCCCTGCCCAGGAAGCAGGTCTCTTGCTAAAGCATTTGAGGTCTGGAGAAGAAAAAACGGCAGGGGGCTGGAAATGGGGGAATACATGCTTTGGTAGCATACAGATAAGGATCAAGTCCTAGATCTTCCTTTGCCAGGCTGTGTGACCTTAGGCAAGTGACTTTAGCTTTCTGTTTGCAAACTTAACCACTCAGGCTGTTAGGAGGATCTGCAGAAACCCCATGTCAGCAGTGCCAGCTTCTTCCAGGTCACTGGGCTCTGGAACCCCATTCAATGCTTGCCCTGAGTGTCTTCACCAGGCTTACAATGGGGACTCTGCTCCCATTTATCCCTGATGCCCACTCACTATCCTCCTCCCCAGCTCAGCCCTGCAATCTACTCCTGACTAACCTGGGATGCCTGCTCACTTGCCTTTGCCAGACATGGCTCCTCATTGGCCATAATTGGGCCCAAAATAGCACTTCCCCTGGGCCACTTCCTGTAACCAGCCCGTGGCTTAAGGTCTGTGAGGACGGAGAAGACTTGGTGTTTGGCCGGTGTTCAAAAGATGTGAAGGGCTCCCAGAGGTCAGCTGGGTCCGGAAAGGGGTAGGCACTTGCCTACAGTCACACAGTAAGGAAAAGCCAGGGCTAGAGCTTGCTTTCACGCCCCTGGGTCCCCTATCTTCTCTCCAGACCCTGCCCAGGTGTAAGGCAGGGCCTCTGCCAGATTTGGCTGCTCCTAAACACACACACACAAAACCTGTACCCTCTAGACCTACAGACCAGTGTGCTAAGGCTGGTTTGAGGTGTGTGACAGGGGCCAGTTAATTCAGCGTCTGCCTCTCCAGGTTTTTAAGGGTGATTTCCTGACTTTGATGATCACAGACAACCCTTGTGCCTAGACTACCTTCCTCAGCATCAATGCTGCCTTACTGTCCCTCTCTGTACTTCATTGTCCCCATTAGATGGTCTAGCTAAACTCTGCCCTCTGGATGACTTTTGCCCCTCTCTCCTCTCCTCTGGGGTCAGGACCCCATACCAGGGCTGCTCTAGGGAACATTAGCTAGACCCCCCTTAAGTGAGACATGACTCTGGCCCCTCAGGCTCTCCCCTATCTTCCAGCCACACCATGTAGCCACCTTTCCTCTCCTTCATAAGATATGGAGACCTGAGCAAAGCAGACTTGAATCTAGGTTCTACCCTCAGAAGCTGGGTGACCTTGAGGAAGGCATTTAACCTCTCTAAACCTCAGTTTCCTCATCTGAAAAAGGGTAATAATGGTATCAACCTCTGTGTACCCTTGAGAGAATTAGAGAGATTCCAGATCCCAGAAGCTGGGGTTATTGCTTTGTTGCATTCAAGACCTATGGCTGAGGGCTGGGGTGTGGCTCAAGTGGTAGAGCATCTGCCTAGCAAGTGCAAGGCCCTGAATTCAAACCCCAGTACCACATGCGTGTACACGCGCACACACACACACACACAAATTGAAGATCTACAGCTAGAACTCAACTACTGTCTCCAGACTGAATTCAACTATTTATCGAGCACCTACTGTGTGCTGTGTGCTGCAGCAGGCACTCACAGAGCTCCCATCCTTTTTCCTCTTCCCCATTCCACCTGGTGCCTGCACCCCTTCTTGCCTTGGTCAGTTCTACAATCCCTCTTTATAACAAACCCCAGCCCTACTTTCTCCCACCTGAGGCCAGCCATGGCCACATTGCTTGAAGTACTAGTTTTCCACCCCAGCTGGCAAAGCCACACAATGGTGACTGGGAGTATAAGAGGAATTTCTGGGGTGGTGTTCTATGTCTTGGCTTTTGTGCACATTCACCAAGCTGCATGCTTATTGCATATTTTCTTGTATAAGTTTTACTCCAAAAAAAGTTTCCTATAAAAATACTGATTCCTGACAGGCGCCGGTGGCTCACACCTAAAATCCTAGCTACTCGGGAGGTAGAGATCAGGAGGATCATGGTTCAAAGCCAGCCACAGGCAAATAGTTCAAGAGACCCTATCTCAAAAAAAAATCCAACACAAAACAGAACTGGTGGAGTGGCTCAAGTGTTAAGAGTGCCTACCTAGCGAGCATGAGACCCCGAGTTCCAACCTCAGTATTGCCCAAGAAAAATAAGTGATACTTGGGTGCTGCTTGAGGGTTCTGACTTAATTGGCTTGGGCCAGGCCTGGGCCCTTAGGTGATTGTAATATACAACCCTGGCTGAACCACTGCTTTAGAGAAACTAATTCTTCCAGGAGCTTCCCCCTAGGCCCGGCCCTGAGGCCTACTCATCCAGGACCTCCCTGCCCACAGCTGACAGGCTTGAGTACCTGTCAGAAGGCAGCTATCCTCAGGCTGACCAGTGCCCTGGGAGGTGGCCTTCTAAGTAACAGTGGGCTGGGCCAATTCTGCTCCCATTAAGGTGCTTGAGTTGGGGAAATGGCACAGATCCAGCCTTGGGAAGCTAGTTCTGAAACCAAAGTCTGCCCTGGGCCTCTGCTGAGGCAGCAGAAACCGTAAGGCAGTGAGGGCAGCAGCTGGCTGGTGGTGATGGAGGAATCAGAGACTGGTGGTGGGGACAACAGGGGTCATGATGTCTGGGCCATTGAGCCCTCTGACAGCTATTTGCAGACTGTCCTTGTATCCAAGAGTGAGCATCTTTTTATTTCAGGGGCAGAACAAATCTCCACCTTGCAATCCAAAGATTGGTGCACACTGAGCAACCATCCTGTGCAGGAAGGGATAATCAGCCCATTCTACAGATGAGGAAATGGAAACTGAGAGGGGCACATTTACCCAACCATATGGCTGGCTAGCTGCAGTCAAGATTCCAAACAAGGTCTGTGCAGCTTCAAAGCCAATGCTTTGTTACATCATAAATCCCACATGAATCTTCTCCTCTCCATAAAATGGGACTGCATGGAGATGTGCTACACAGGTCCTGTGGCTTTGAGGACCCAGCAGCCCCAAGATGTGTGTGGCAGTTTGTAAAGCATGAGCCAGCACTCCCTTTCAGAAACTGGTTTTTTTTTCCTTCCTTCCTCCCTTTCACTAGGGATGGCTTCCAGAGCTTTCCACATGCTAAGCACACACTCTGCCACTGAGCTACACTCTAGTCCAGGAGCTGAACTTTCGAGTCAGCCATTTGGGTAGATGTTCACATGGGTTCAGCAGCTGAGGCACGCCCTGCCTTTCCTGTGGTGGTCACACCTGCAGGTGTGCTATGGTGTGAGGGGATCTTGCCCCTGTACGGAACACCCTCATGATGTTGAATCTTTGCATTCTTGTCTCATTTAATGATAAACCTCTTTGGACCAGAATCAGACTTGGATCCACATCTGCTCTGAAGACTGGCTTACCTTACCTGGGGTCCCACAGACATCGTTTTTTGGAGGAGACTTACACAGGTTCCCTAGTGCTCTGGTTCTGCTGCGGGTGTCAGCTTCAGACTCTCAAGCCCCATCCCGGATGGACACAAATGACAGATGTAATGTCTGTGTTGCCTCATTTGCATACATAATCTGTAAGGGATTCTAATATGTAGCCCACTTATGAAACACCGGCCTAGCGCAACTCCTTTATTTTTCTAATGAAGAAACTGAAGCCCAGACAGAGGCAGCAACCTGCTCAGGGTAACACAGCAAGTCAGTGGCAGTTTCGCCATCCCAGCACTCTTTTGGGTCTCCAAGGCCTTCACTCTGCCCAAGTGGAGTCAGCCTAGGGAAGCCCTCATGGCTGGGGAGACATAGCCCTGAGGATGCTAGCAGAGCCACTTCGGCCCACGGCCAATGCGGAGGAGTCATTTGGTGTTTCTATTTATTGACTTTAAATTTCATCCAAGGAGAGTTAATACATGACTGGTAGCAAGAGAACATAATCTAAGACTGCAATGACCTGCCCACCCCAAACAAAAGCAAAACCAAACAGAACAAACCCATCTGAAACCAGACCTTTGGAGTTGTAGCTGAAGCAAAGGGCTGAGGGTGGCTTCCTGCAGCCTGGGAAGCGGGGAAGAGGCTGCTCTCAAGTAGGAACCTTCCCAGTAAAGAAGCCATGACCAGCCCCGCAGCTTTGGGGGTGAGGGGAAGCCTTCCTGAAGTTGGCTCCCCTGGCAGGAGGGGTTGTGAGGAGAGGGATTCAGTGGTCAGAGTGAGGGAGCTCCTAGGTTCACCACCCCCCAAGGTGACCCAAGTGCCAGTGCATGAGACACAGGGAGGCAAGGGCTGTGGTTAGGGCTGACTTCGAGGAGTGAGGGCCCCTTTCTCTTACCTGAGAGGAAGCCCTGTCCAAGACTCCACCAGTATCCTCCAATTAAGACGCCATTAAAGGCACCACCAACACCCTGGGAAATGCAAAGCCTTGGAGGCCCCCCAGTAGGGGGTCACTGCCCTCTAATAGTCATCTTGTTTGGGTGACTGAGGGCAGTTGGTCCTGGCCTCTGGATCAGGGTGGGTTAGGAAGGTTTAAGGGGCAGTATTTCAGTGTCCTGAACATGCAGTGTGTGTGCGTGTGTGTGTGTGTGTGTGTGTGAGAGAGAGAGAGAGAGAGAGAGAGAGAGAGAGAAAGAGAGACTGGGGGCGCTGGGAGCATTGGTCCCTTCAGGAAGGCTGGATCAGGGTCCCAGGGTGGCCCCTCGGCAGAAATAGGCTTTTTCCTCCTGTCATTTCCTTACATCATGCCAGCCCCAGGGCACTGCATAAATAAGTGCTTTGGAAAGTACTCATCTAAAAAGGAACATAAATACTGTACACGGGAAAGGATGCTGCCCTCAGTCTTCCTGCTGCCCCGGAAAACCCTCCAAATATTGCACATGACCTCCCCAGCCCTGTGGGGTCCAGGTCCAGCTGTGTCTTTGGTAGAAGCTCCAGGGACAGAGGTCCTGGGCAGTCTGCATGCCCCCACCCGGGTGATGACCGGGAGCAGTCAGGGGGTGGGAGAGGCCTGAACTGGCTGGCCAGCAGGTGTTCCATCAAGGAGTGCTTCTGTGACAATGAGACAGAGCCCATACAGGCATGGGTGTTCCTTTGTTTGGACACGCTGGTCAAGGTCAGCATGTAGGTTGGGAAGAGGCAAGCAGACTGAGGGCAGGTAGGCAGATGAGTCCCAGGCACAGTGGACAGGGTCACACCCTCCATAGGAGGAGGTGGTTTGTGCTGTCATCTCGGCCCACGGTCTCACTGCTGCCACCACCTCCGCTGCTGAGTCGGAAGTCCTCATAGCCGTCACCTCCACTGATAACCAGCATTTTAGGCTTGGCTGAGGCAGGGCCACGGTGCCGAGGGGATCCCCGATATTCCAGGGATGGCAGCTTTTCGGGACCTGGGGAGCAAAGGGGGAAGACTTGAGGTCACTGGTGGCTTCACTGCCCTATCATGGCCTGAGTTTCCACACCCCAGAAGATAGCAAGACATGTACCCTTCCTATAGGGAATCCCACCTCCTGTTAGCCAGAACATTTTATTTGGAAAGAAATACCCATTTCCTGGCATTCAGACTTCTTATCTCCTACCTGGACTTTCTAGTCAAGTAACTTCACCACTGTCTCTCTTGATTACTGCACATATAAGGTCTTCTTCATTATAATTATAGTCACATGCTGCATAACGACATTTCAATCAATGACAGAGCACATATAATGGAGCTGAAAAATTTCCGTCACCTAGTGATGTGCCAGCCACCCTCATAACAGTGCAACACTGCTCACCTGCCTGCGTTGATGCTGGTGTAAAAGCAGCACACTCAATTGCACACAGTACGTAATACTTAACAAAGGACTTTTTTTTCTTTTTGGTGGGACTGGGGTTTGAACACAGAGCCTCACATTTGCTAGGTAGGCACTTTATCACTTGAGCCATGCCATCAGTCCTTTTTCTGTGATGGGGTTTTTAAACTATTTGCCTGGGGCTGGGTTTGAACCTGATCTTCCTGATCTCTGTCTCCTGAGTAGCTAGGATTACAGGTATGAGCCACTGGTGGCCAGCTAATAAACAGCTATGTTACTGGTTTATGTATTTTTTCTTCTGTGCTGGAGATCAAACCCAGGGCCTCATGAATGTGCATTTTCTATACTGAATTTGAACGTACTCTTACTTACATATGCAAAAGTTCACTGTAAACAGTCTGCCCTGTTAGCTGGCAGCAGCCTCATACATCACGTTTACTGCAGCTCTTGACTTAATCTTGTGTTGTTCTGTTCCTCGTGGCCCGAGGAGGAAGAGGCTATTCCATTTATAGATAGGCTATCGCCCAGGTGTGCAGCAGGCTATCCCATCCAGGTTTACGAAGCACACTCTATGATGTTCTCACAACAACGAAAGTGCCTAATGATGCCTTTCTCAGAACGTGTGCCATTAGCAAGCGCTGCACAATTCTACACAATGTTCTGGTTTCCGACAGCCCCTTCTCAGTTAGTGAGCTCCAGTCTCTAGACACAGGCAACTCCTCACTGAGGCTTTACTGCTTCCTGATTCACACTGCCACCTCCTTTTGCCCTGCCAAAGCAAGACTTTTCTGATTGTGACCTCTGTTTTCCCAGTTTCACTCGCTAGTTCTTCCAGCCCACTTCCTGTCCTATACACTACTCTACGTTCTCTTTTCTGGTGCTATTTCTGTTGCCTGCCTGCACATAACTTTCTGAATCCACTTCCTGTTCTAAACATCATTTCCTGTTGCATATAAACACATACAACCGATGTATTTCCTACAAACACATCCTACCTGTGCCATATTCTACTCGTTAGCACTTCCTATCTCCCACGACACTTTTTTCTTTCGGTACTGGGGTTGAACCCAGAGCCTCACACCTGCTAGGCAAGCACTCTACCACTTGAGCCACGCCCCCAGCCCCTTTGTTTTCTACATTGATTTTGAGTCAAGGTCTCACTACCTTGCTTTGGCTGGCCTCAACCTTTCGATCTTCCTGCCTCTACCTCTCAAGTGGCTGGGATTATAAACGTGTGCCACCATGCCCAGGTCATGATACTTCTTTGGACAAGATCTCATGCACACACATGCACAAACCACACAAACATACATTCACATGATATCCTAGCAGATTCCCTTTTGGAGTTTCTGTACCTGTTTCCTCTAATATATAGCACTTCCAACTCTGTATTACATTTCTTTTCCCTCTTAAACCCTCTGCTGGCAGGGCAGCAGGGAGTCCTAACCCAAAAGTCTAGGACCCCTGGGTCGGGTAGGATATGCAGACCCACCTGTGTCTGGGGGAGGTGGTGGGGTTGGGCAAATCAGGTTGAAGCCATCGGGCAGCTGGACTGCAGCCAGGAAGCGGACGTGGCCAGTGTGTCCCTGGCCTAGGCCAGTAGGGCTGAGAGGTGCCCGTGGGCAGCTGACAGTACTGGGAGAGGTGGGCATGGTGAGCACGACACCAGCACTGGTGCCCACCCACAGCAGCTCTTCACATACCAGCAGCGCTGTGATCCGCAGGCAGGCAGCCTTGTGCTGCCTGATGATGGCATCTGAGCCTGGGTGGGAAACAGACCAGCGCTGGGGCCAAATGCTGGCCCTGGCTCTGCCTCCTCAATGACAGGGCAGACAGCCTTCCAGGGAAGGTGCAGTAGGAGTGCAAGGTCAGTACCTGCCAGCATCCTGTGCACAGGGGGTGTGACGTCTACCTCTGCCAGCTGCTCAAAGGTGTCTGCGTGGTAGAGACACACATGGGCGCTACCTTTCAGTGTCACCCACACGCCCAGGCTGGAGTCCACCATGCAAGCCACACTTCGGCTTGAATCCTGCCCCACGTGGAATGTGTGCTGTCGATGAGGGGAGGGCAGAGAGCAGATGGTGACTAGCAGGCCTACCCTGGCCCCTCCTGTCTGATGGCACCAGTGTCCACCCCTTCCTCCTCATAACTCCTACCCAACCTCTCCAGACACCCACCTGGTTGTACAGCAAACCAGCCTTGGTCCTGGGTCTGGATGATCAACCCTCCCAAGATTGTTTGCACTAGTGTCTCCCAACTTAATCCTCGGGAATTGGAAAGGTGGGGGAGCCCTTTCCCCCTGTAACTTAAGGACCAGAAAACTTCAAAACCTGAAGGGTTTTAAGACCAGTTGTTGACCTCTCCATGGGCAGATGGGAAAGTCAAAGACCAGGAGGTCACATAGCCAGTGAACCCAGGCTTTGGCCTCCAGCCCAGCCAGTGACAGAGTAATAGAGGGAAATCAAGGGAACTGGTGGCTCCTGGATACCACCCAAGCTGGAAACCTCTGGCATGTATATAATGAAGCCAGGACTAAAGACCAGACTCTAACACTAACAGCTGATGAAATCTGGAAGGACCCTTCTAGCCCTCACAGTCCCCAATACCTGCATTGAGAGAGAGTGTGGGCAGGAGCATAAATGAGGGATTCTAACACACAGGGCACTTGCTGTCTTCCTCATCAGCTACAGAAGGCTAGCAACAGGGGTCAGGGAAAGGTCTCAATCCTCATCTGGATGCTTCTCTGCCCCCATGATCTCATCTCCCTCTCATATGGACCCAGCTCATCCTAAATCACCAATTCTGTCGCCCTCCCCCCTCCATGCTACCTCCTGCTGCAGTGTGTCAGGGCTTAGGACAAGAACTCGGTTCTGGCAGCCACACCACAGCCGTCCACCCACAGACACCATCTTGGTGATGGGGCTCCCCTGAGCACCCAGTGTCACTGATTTGAAGTTCTGGGGGTCCCAGAAGCGGCCTGGAATAGGATAAGGTAAAGAAAACACGAAATTCAGTATAGTACTGAATTTAAGCCGTATCTCCCCTGGCAAGAGACATGAATATTCCATTCATAAGCAAGGACAGCAAAGCCCTGGGAACTGCCCATCACTACATCTCCAGACTTATGGTCTGGAGGACCCCAGCCACCCAGAAGACAGCTCTACCACAGTGAGTAGATCTAGATGGGGCTGGTACAGGGGACACACACCTGCTTCCCTTTGGTAGACAACAAGTTCTCCATTGGCCAGAGACACAAACACCTGGTTATTTAGATACCTGGGCAGGGAAAAAAGAATTCAGAGACTTTAGGAGGCCAAAGTGGGTTACCTGGAGCCAGGAGAATCAGGTAGAAAGGCTATGGCTCCCAAGACACCACCTTCTGTCACCCTGTTCCCCAGGTGGTGGGGGAGTCTGAGGCAGTGATATGCCCAAATTCTGTGTGTAAGAGGCATAGCTGGCTTTAGGCCAGGCCTCTGTTCTTCACCTCCCCACACCAAGAAAGGAGGAGCCAGTAGAGCAAAGGGGCCCAGTGAACGGAGGAGGCCTGTGTGCTGTGCCTGAGAAGGGTCTGGACAGGAAGGGCACCCTGGAGCCTTACAGGATGCAGGTTACAGAGGCTGTGTGCTGAAGCTTCATGCTGTTCCTGCGGTCACGGATGCTGTCAGAGGACTGGTACACATGGACACTGTGGATGGAGGGGGAGCACCTGTGACAAATGCTCGGGCACACCAGCCTGGGGAGTCATTCCTCTATTCCCACCTCCCCTATGTCAGGTGCTTGTGTATCCTTGGCTGGCAGGACACCAGAGCCCTGACCCAAAGCCCTCCTCCTTCCGCTTCAGGACTTCCAGAGTAGGCAGCTTAGGGTTCTGGCACTCTGTCCCCTGCCCCTCCCCTGCCCCTACCAGCCATCCTCAGTGCCCAGCCACACAGAGCTCTGGTAAGCCTCAGGGTCCACGCTCAGCAGGTCCTCGAGGCTGCCCCGTGTAAAGGAGCCACGGCTGGAGCGGCGAAGGGCTCTTCCATCCATTGGGCTGGTGCCGCAGGGACCGCCAGGCCCAAAGGAGCCAGACAGGGGCAGGAAGCCAGGCTCCTGCTCTTCCTCTGAGCTGGTTGTTTCTGCCGTGGCCTCCTTGGAGCTTGGGGTCTCCTCATCTGAAGGGGACAAAGGTCTCTCTCTGTCTCCATTCCCCTTCGCCAGGCCAAACACTTGACATCTTTCTGGACCTCAGTCTCCCCTCACTGCATCCCTCTTGGCCATGCCTTTTGCAGTCACTCCTTTCCAGCCCCAAGGCCTCTGTATCTGCTCAGGCATCTGCTCATGGACAGCACAGATTACAGGCTCCTACTTCTAGCCAAAGGGGCCAACCACTCTGCCTAGTAAACCATCTTCCTTAACTGGGTGCCTGAGGGTCTTCAAAATTCCACTTGTCTGTCCCACTGCCTTCTGGGTCCTCAGTGGCACAGGCCCCACCTACCTTGCCAGCCCCCACTGCTGCATGTGCTCACGTCCAGACATTTAATCCCAGCCTTTACCTCCACTAGTGCCTCCTCACCCCCTCCTCCCAGCAGTCCACTTTGCCTGACAGCCCCAAATCCAACACTCACTGCCAAAGCTGGAGGAGATGGTGGACCGGCTGGCTTGGCTCTGCAGAGTCCCTGAGGGGCTGGGTGAAGATTCATCATCAGAGTCGCTGTCAAACGGCACCAACTCAGGGCGGGGTTCACCCTCAGCAGGACCTGGTGCCATCTCCAGGCCAGAGCCTGAGATGGAGATGTGTAGGCAAGGCTGAGGTCCTGGCTCTGCCAGCACTGCTGCTTCTTCGTCTGCTGCAGCCTCGACATCCAGCTCTGGCCCAGCAGGTTCAGAGGTGGTTTCTGGAGGGCTCCTCAGTGACTCTGACTGTTCCCTGAGAGAAAAGGGACAAGAGCCTCTAGAAGGTACCAGCTTGGGCACTCTGACCTGGTCCTGCCCACCACTACAGGGTGGCCTCTGCATGCATGGGGCAGGGGTTTGCCTCTCAGAGGTTTGCAGGTGGCCTCACCGATGGCAGCGACGCTGCAGGCCTGGCACTGCTCCAATGCAGAGGATTCGTGCTGAGCAGACTGCGATGCAGGCCTCCACGTCAGGCTCGGCACGCAGGCTCAGCAGGCACACCTGGCCCACGTAACCGTCACTGTTGCACACCCATACCTCGGGGGCAGGCTCTGGGCAGCTGCTGAGGGTGGGGGCTGCACATGAAAACTGCAGGAGGAAAAATGGGCAAGGAATGAAGAATTGGTGCCAACATCCTGCTCTACCAGGGACCCCTGCTGAATGGAGGGTAGCAGGCCTGCATGGGTGTTTGTGGACCCCCAAACTTCCTTTTGCAGCCCTCTCCATCTCGTATCATCCAAATCCTATGATACTCGCATCATATCCACATACACCCTAAATATGATCACAGATGCGCGCATGTAGCATGTGACACTGGTACCTTTGTACCTACGCAGACACATGCCCACACAGGTGTGACACATACGCAGTGTCCACATGTATGCACGGAGAGCTGAGCATTCAAAGACACAGGGAGCAACTGCAGTGGGTAAGCTGCACATGCAATACTGCACACAAAACAGGAGTTGATGAGCATGTGCTGGCTTTGAACATTTGCGCCCAGGTGGCCCTTGAGTATACCACACCTGCATGCCGCTGCGAGTTTTCATGATGGGAATGGCCTTCAGGAACTCAGGATCTAGACAGCTTTTGCTTGATGCTGTAATGGAGATGGACAGATAGTCAAGAGGACAGGGTACAGCGAGACTCTGCTTAGCATCTACCTCACACTGGTCCTGCCAGCACTAATTTCCCTTCCTCTCTTCAGGATGTCTCTAGTGAGGGCCTGATCCCAGCCACACTAGAAAGACAGGCTATGAGTTATACCCTGCTTGCCCCTAGTCTCAATTTTCCCATTTGTATAGTGAGGGTGTTAGACTAGAGGGCTCTATGCCATGGACTCTGATAGCTTTCCCTCTTCCAGCCACACTGTGTGTGTGTGGGGAGGGGGAAGGTTGGAGGAGAAGGATGAGGAGGGCTTTGGTCATTCCCCATGATGGGATCTCTGCCCTAAGCTGATTCTGTCCAAGGGGTCCTCTCCCTGCCAGGGAGGACCTTGGGAGGCCATAAATCTGTGTTTCAGTGCAGAAGTCTCAGTCTACCCTCCCTGTCAGCTGATTGAACACTGCAGTTTCAGGATTTGTAGCTTCTGAAGTCAGACACTGCCTAGAGGTTCTGGGAGAACACCAGCAGGGCCCTGGCTCACCCAGCTTTCTCTTGGCCTCATCAAAGGCCTGTTCGAAGCCCAGGCGAGCATCCGGGTGGGGAAACTCGAAGATGAAGGAGTCAGTGCCCTCAGGCCGGGTGGCGCACAACTCCAGCTTAGTAGGTGGGAAGGAAAGCGCATAGCACAGTGCCTGCTTTTCCGACAGGTCCCTGTGCATGGCGGCTGAGAGATCCCTCAGTGCGTCATCCAGGTTCTGTGGGGAAGAGGGTCCAGGCCTCAGGCCCAAGGTCTTACCATAGAAGGCATCTATCCTTGACCTGTCTCTCCCCTCAGATGGCAAGTAGAATGCTATCTCTTCCCTTAGGCCAAGAGGAAACCAGAACTCCCCCCAACAGACAGGGATGGGCTCTCTCTGCCCCTCAGATAAGATGGAGCCATGTCTCCACCCTGGAATATGGTACTCCCCGCAAATGGAGGTGAGCATCTATTTTTCCCCTCAGATAAGTGACACGGCTATCTTTGTACTCAGGCAAACACCAAGGCTGTGTCTCTCCCTTAGATAGTGTTAGAGAACCCTCAGCCCTACCTCCCCAGCCTCAGGCAGAGGGCTCAGACCTGATGGGGAAAGCCGAGGCTCTCAGAAAGCTTGCTCATTTGGCCCAGGGTGGTCAGGTCCTCATCCAAGCGGCTGATGGCCTTCTGGATGCTCTCCCGATTGGTGGTTTGGGACACCCCTGGTGGGGAAGGCCATTGATAGACAGATGAGGTCAGGCTTAGACAGACACTCCTTCATTGCACAGCGCACAGCTGAGCATGGGGACTGGCTTGATAAACTGAGAGCTTACAGACCCCAAGTTTAAACAGCAAAGTTAAGGCAGCTCCAGAGAAACCCCAGGCCTGGAATCAGGGGACTGGGCCTGGTTCAGAGTCACGTGACACAGGATGACCTGGGAGAACTCTCCAGAAAAGCACAAAGTATGAAAAGGCAGTCGGCTTTGCGGGTTATGTGGGCTCCAGTGGACACAGGATTGCAGCAGTGATGCAGCCTCTAGTGAGGAAATGCTAAGTAGGCAGAGCCCCAGCAGTAAAATCTGCTGACCTAGGGACTCAACTCCCCAAAAAGGAGAGAGCAATGAGCTGGTGTCCTGGTTTTCTTAGTCTCATCCCACAGCTGACCACTGCCAAGTGGCTAGCACTACAGGCCAGCTGGGTGCCCCACCCCTCACTGCCTGGTTTGGAGTGTATGTACACTCTGGTCCAGTGGACATCAAGCCTTGAAATCAAGGGACAGGAAGCTTTTTTTTTCCTCTTTCCTAAATGACAGGTTTTCCTGGCTTCTGCTCTTATTTATACACCGTGTTAGTGGTGTGTCTACGTGGAATAGTTGGGCCACAGCTTGCAGAAAGACCTGGATGAGATCATGACAGAACTACAGGAAAAATAGATTCCAAGATTGGCAAGTGATTTCTGAGTTGTCCCTGTAGCCAGGGACCCCCGAGGGGAGAGGGCAGCTTGTTGAGGAGGGGGTGCAACACAAAGGCTGTGGTACTGTGTCTACAGTGTGCTGAGTAGACAGCAGTGGTGTGGACTAGACAAGCCAAGGCTTGGGATAGCTCTGCTATGGTCTATTCACATCTCTCCAAAATTCTTATGTTGAAATCCAATGTTGATATTAGGAGCTGGGGCCTCAGGGCGGTAACAAGGCCATATGGGCAGCACCCTTGTGAATGTAATTAGTGTCTTTATAAAAAGGTCTAGGAAAGCTTGTTCATCCCTTTCACCAAATGAGAACATATACTTGTACCAGGTCCCTCACCAGACCCTTGATCTGCTAGTGTCTTGATCTGGGGTCAAGCACTTGATCTGAGCTCCAGAACTGTGAGCATTAAATTCTTGCTTATATATTATGTGGTTTGTGGGGTTTTTTTGTTTTTGTTTTTTGTTATAGCAGTTCATACAGACTAAAACAATGTCCCAGCCCGACCTTCATTGCCTGGGCAGCCATGTTTTCTTCCATACGACCCTGCCTCACTTCTGGCCATAGTCGAACGGACCAGAAGTGGGCACTTGAGCTGAAGGTCCAGTGGCCTGCTTCTGAGAAGAGATGAGGTGGACCAGTAATCATCGCCAGCACTTGCATTCCTGCACAGGGATCTGCACAACAGGCCTGGGTTCACTTGGGGGTCCCTCTGCAGGTGGGCCCATTGAAAGCCTGGACCTCGTCACTAACTGGGGTTACAAGGAAACAGAGGAAACTAAGAGCAGTGAGAACAGAGCGACTCACAGCAAGAGGAAGAGAGAGGGGCAGCAGGAGGAGCAGACCTCGAGGCTGTCTCTGCTCCTGCTAGACTTAGCCCAGACCACACAGACGTCTCCAGTCACCCTTTGCTTGGACTCCGTTCCCCAGATATAACACTGCCAGGCTAGACCATCCAACACTGCCCAACACTAGGCATGAAAATGAACTTTCCAGCGAATTTCTGACTAACAGCAGTTAGGCCTGCTCTTCCTGCAGCCCTACCTAGCGCCATTTGCCAGCCTGGGTCCTGCATTCAGAAGGAGGTCTGCATGGGTAGGTGGGTCTGGCCCCAGCTCCACGAGTTCCAAACCAGTCCTTCACACTAACCTTGTTATATTGAATGAAAAGTGAGGCCCAAAAGAAAAAAGCAGATGGGTAGGCAGCCAGACTGGCCACACCTCAAACCTTCCAGAACTCTCACAGGAACATCCCAATACCACAAGCCCTGGGGAGGCTCAAGCCTGCCCCACCTTTGATGATGCTTGTATCCTCCAGCGGCAGCTTCCACAGCATCTTGTACTTGCTGGCCGTGTCGATGACGCTGGCTGCTGTGTACCTGTGGGCAGTCAGTGGGATGCTCTGGACAGGGCAGAGAAGCGGGGTCCAGGGCAGGACAACTGCTTCCCCTGCCTACAACACCCAGCCTCGACCCAGCCACTCACAGGCTCATGGAGCTGCGCCGCAGAGAGCCGGACTTTCGCTTCAGAGTGGTGCAGACGATAAGGTCTGTGAACAGGAAGAGGGACCGGTCCTTCTTGCCACCAATTGCCTTCTGTGGGGCCCAAGGCAGGATTCAGGCTAGGTACACACAGTCCAGAAGAAGCCCACCCACCTGCCCACAGTGCCCAAGGGGACAGTGAGGCTCAGAGTTCCTACTGGGTGGAAGGGATACCTGTGGGCAAGCAGTTAATGAGAAGAGTAAACTGAGGCAAGGAGGTAGGGTGAGGTGGGCAGACAGTGGAACTTCTTACCACTTCAATGACCATCTCCTGCCTCAGGAACCGTCGCAGAGGGGCCTGGAGCTGTGGGGCAGATGGGACATGGCTTCATAAGAGCTAGTTATTAATTTTTATCTCACTAACACGCTGGCCTACTCCCTGGCCAGGCCAGTGGAAACAACATCCTGTCCACCCTCCCAATATGGTGCTGCCAGGCCAGGCTACATGGTCAGAGACTGACAGAGGATACAGATGAGAGCTGTATAATCTTAGATACAAGCTCACAGCAGACAGAGATGCAGATGTGGACAAGTCACAATTCCAGGCAACATGCAGACATGGAGGTAGGTCAGACACAGACACGGGAGGGTGGGCAGGGAAGGGTGGCACGCACATCCTCCATGCCCTCAATGTGGGCCTCGATCTCCTGTAGCACACGGGCGTGCCGCTCTGCCTCCTCAGCACTCCGAACGCCCTTGTTGATGCGTTCAGCCACCTGCTTGATGTTCCGCTGCGCATCTAGCAGAAGTGGATGGTCTGGGTGGTCTTCAGGTGTGTGCTTCAAGAGGTCCTGGGGTGGGAATGGGGACCTGCTTAGCTGCCCCTGGGCCCCAGGCTGACTGCTGGAGCAGGAGGGACTATGGGTAAGATACAAGGAACACCCCTTTCCTGACTGATCTCTGAGGACCATGGCCTGGCAGGGACCTCAGGATTCCATGTAGTCCCCCATGCCTCCAGGCCTTGCCCACATGCCCTCCCAGCCCCATGCCCACCTTCACCAGAAGCTCGTAGCGTGGGATCCGCTGCACCGGCTTGATCATGAGGTCAGACAGTGCCTGTTTCTCCTTGTTCTCACGCATGCTTTGCTGAAATCCGAAGCAGGGTGTGTGGAGCCCAAATGAGGAAGCGCATACCAGGAAGATATATCCAGGGTCAGGCTCTAGGCAAGCCCCTGCAGCTCAGTCCAAGGGCAAGGCTGACCCATTGGCTAGGGACATGTGCCCAGCTGGGAGCTCCTGGGGCCCTCACTGCTGGCCCGAGGTGAGGGTTGCTCCACCCCCTGGTCTGGCCCACATACCTCTAGGAACTTGAGAAAGGCAGGCTTTGCCTCCTTAGCCACACGCACGGCGTCCTTTGCATTGAGGAAGTTATCAATATAGGCAGAGTAGATGTTTACCAGGACATCTTTGGAGAACTGTGGGTGAGGAGGCAGGTTGGGGACCTTGTGTCCCTAACCTATCCTGCTTTCAACTTCAACCCTGTCTTGATTTCTCTCAACTAGAAATGACACAGTCTCGGTTGGATCAAGCTTGTGCTGTGTGTTGTTTCTCTAAGTATACATGTGCTGTATGTGTGACTGTGGGGTGTGTGTGTGTACACACACCTGGGTATATCTGATCTGTGTAAGTCTGTGTGGGAACTTATGTATGTATGCCTGGATGTGTCCTGTGAGCTCAGACCTGGTCCCAATTGGGCATTTCCATCTTGAGGTCTCTGAACCAAGTCCAGCCAGGGAGGTCTCCCTTCTCACTGTCCTTGAAGTACACACAGATTCCAGTCACGTAGCCTTTGTTCCTGCAGTCCTTTCCCTAGGAATACCTTTCCTTGTCCCACCTCACCCACCATTGGGGCTGAGCTCCAGATCTGCCTCCACCAGGAAACACTCCCTGCCTGACTAGGGCTCTGGCCTCTGGCTTCTCTGTCCCAAGATCAGTTCTCCCTCTCCAAGCACAGAACTCCTCCCCCAGCCACGGTAAAGCCTGGCTTAGGGTAAATCATGTGGCTGGTGGCTAGTAACTGCTGACTGGATGATGGCAGGCTAAAGTTGGAGGTTCTTAGATAGAAGCCTTGGCTGGGAATGAGGACACCTGGGTTTCTGTCTCAGCTGCACCTTGGAGAGGCTAAATTACCTTAGATAAGCTTAGCAGCATCTCTGGCCCTCTCTAGGCCTCAGAGTCCCTGCCTCTGTTCAGGACAGTTCTCACCAACCACCCCTATCCTGAGCACCTGGGCTGTGTCCCATGGGAGTGGGGCACAGGGCTTCCAGGTCAACATCCAGGCCCAGGCAGGGCGCCGAGCCTAGTGACACTGAAGTGATGATAGATGGAGACACCGGTACTCACTGGAGGTGGGGTCCCCTCACCCCTGGCAGACCACATCAGTTTTCAGGTCACCAGGGACAGTCTAAGATCTTTCTAGATTGAGGGCCCCTCCCCACATCACAATGAACTCATTAAAACTCACTCACATCCCGAAGTAGACATGCTTTTTTTTTTTTTTTGCTTTTTGCTTATAAAACTTTTGGAAGAACTTTTATAATTTTGCTTTTAAAATTATGTGGCTCTGAGTAACCATTTAGTTTGCATTTAGCTATAATTTATCAGTCATCATCATGCATTTTTGGAAATTCTGGCAAAATAGCAAATTCTAACTTAAACGTTTTCAAATATAATTAAATCCTTATAAATAAACACTAAATTTAACAAGGAAAAAATGACATTCTTAAAAAAGATTTTTTGGCAGTATTGGGGACTGAACTCAGGATTTCGCACTTGCTAGGCAAGCACTCTACCACTTGAGCCACTCCTTTTTGGCTTTAGTTATTTTTCAGGTAGAGTCTGGGCTTTGATCCTCTTACTTCCGCCTCCTTGGTAGCTGTGATTACAGGCATGCACCATCATAACATTGGCATGTTATATTTTATAGACATTTAATGAAATCCTTATTAGTTTTGTTTCTTTTTTTAAATAAGTCACTGCTGGGGACCATGTAAAGCTTACAGGACTAGGGAGTGTGTCGCATAAAATAGAGAGCCAGGGCCTGAAGTCAGGCTTCCTGGAGTCGAATCCTCCACCACTCACAGCCTACAGCTCTGATCCAGTGGCTTATCTTTCGGTGCTGCAGCCATCAATTATAAAATCAGGGGAGTAACCGTGTCTTTTTCCCAGGGCTGTTGATACATATAATGTATTTAGGATAATCCCAGTGCAAGAGTGCTAGCTATGATTATTAAAATGCCTGATGGAGAAAAGAGCTAGTGCAAGGCCAGGGTCAGTGCCCAGGGTCAGGGTCAGGGCAGTTGTTCAGATGTGGGTTAAGAGAGGGGTTGGACCAGGCACCAGTGGCTCACGTCTGTAATCCTAGCTGAGACTGAGAGGATCGTGGTTTGAGATCAGCCTGGGGAACAGTTTGAAAGACACCCATCTCCAAAATAACTAGAGCAAAATGGACTGGAGATGTGGCTTGAGTGACAAAATTGCCTGCTTTGCAAGTGTGAAGCCCTGAGTTCAAACCCTAGTCCCACCAAAAACAAAAAGCTAGGGGTTGAGGTCAGCACCCTCTGTGGGGTCTGGATCAGTGGCAGCCACTGGGGTCAGGTTCAGGATCAGGGTCAGCATCCAGTTGAGGCTGGAATCCATACCAGAGTCCTGCCAAGCTCTGGGGTTAGATCTCAAGGGCCAGGGTCAAATCTGGGGTCAACGTCAGTGTCTGGATCGGGTGGGTGAGTTAGGGAGTCCTGACAGCATCTGGGGTACTCACCGATTGGACGAGCAGGGCCCCCACTTTCTGCTGAGCATGCCAGGTCTGTACACAGTGTCGCACCTGCTCCAGGAACTGCTCGTGGTGTTCCAGGAGCTCGGGGATCTGGTCGAAGATCTCATCCACCAGCGATGGGTCACACAGCAAGGAGTTCTCTGGCTGCTTCAGCGGCTGCATGTAGCCCTGGGGATTCACGGCTCGGTATGCATTCCCACAGCAGTGGCACCCCACCACACTGCACAGGTCCCTGGCGAGTGCCCACAGAATCACACAGGCCTGCTGCTCAGTGCCTGGACTCCTGCATCTCCTGTATTAAGCTGGGAGAGGAGTGGGAAGACCTGTCCCCAAACCTCCCTCCTGCCTGGCCCAGGGCCTAGCACAAGAAGGAACTGATGGGGCTCAGGAAAGTTTTGCTGGGTGCAAGAACAAACAGTTCGTGATGAAAAAAGCAAGAAGACGGGGTTTCTTGGAAACACACCCATACTAGCTCAGCAAATATTTACTGAACACTTAACTAAGTGCCAGGCACTGTTCTAGGAACTGGGAGACAGCACTGAACAAGAAAGACCCAATCCCTGTCCTGAAAGAGCTTACATCTAGTTGGATGAAATAAAGGAAAAAAATTACACTTCATCAAATCTAAGATGTACCATTATTTTTATTTATTTTTTTACAGTACTGGGGCTTGAACTCAGGGCCTACACTTTGAGCCACTCCACTAGCCCCTTTTTTTGTATGTGATGATTCTTCTCAAGATAGGGTCTCAGGAACTGTTTGCCCAGGCTGGCTTTGAACTGCGATCTCCTGATCTCTGCCTCCAGAGTAGCTAGGATTATAGGTGTAAGCCATCAGTGCCCAGCAATTTTTATTTATCTTTAAGAAAAAAAATAAACCAGGTGCCAATGACTCACGCCTGTAATCCTAGCTACTTGGGAGGCTGAGATCTGGAGGATCATGGCTCCCAGACCAGCCTAGACAAAAAAATTGGTGAGATCCCATCTCAACAGAAAGAAAGCTGGGCATGGTGACACATGCCTGTCATCCCAGCAATGGCAGGAAACTTAAAATAGGAGAAGGACAGTGGTTCAGGCTGGCTTGGGCAAAAAAACGAGACCCTACCTCCAAAATAACCAAAGCAAAAAGGGCTGGAGACAGGGCTCAAGTGGTAGAGCACCTGCCTTGCAAGTACAAAGCTGTGAGTTCAAACCTTGGTGCTGCTAAAAAATAAATGAACAAATCATGATTTGTCACCAATTACAGGACCAACTCTGGTTTCTAAGACGTTAAGATGTGAAGACTAGCCAGGTATAGTGGTTCATGTATATAATCCTAGATACTCAGGAGGAGGAGGCAGGAGGATCATAAATTCAAGGCTAGTCCTGCCAAAGGTAGCCAGACCTGTCTCAAAACCAAAATACAAACAAAAGGACTGGAAGCATGATTCAGGTGGGAGAGTGCTTGCCTAACAAGTTCAAGGCCCTGAGTTCAAACCCCAGTCCACAAAAAAGGGAGGAAAAAAAAAAAGTGAAGACCCAATCCTGGAAAAGACAAAAAGCAGGCAGGACCACAGGAGTTCAACTGGGAAGTTATTGGAGGCATGCAGTGACACTATCTAAACATTGTTTTAAGACTAAAATTCCTGTTTTTCACCTCAATTCTGTATTCAGTAGAGTTCCAGGAGCATGAATGGCATGCTCTGTGGCTGGCGCTCTTATGGAGAGGTCGCCATCTACTGGCCAATGCTGTAACTACAGGCCAAAGAAATGAGGGTATTATTGACAAAGCATATGCGATATTGTACTAACATTTATATTAAACACTTAAAAAATCTGGCTTGTTTTGTAAAATAAATTTGAGAAACTCAAACTCAACAGAACTCTCGACTGGTTGGGATTCTGGAAAGGATTGAGATGACGATGAGGAGACAGGCAGCCTTGCTCTTAAGAGTTCTCCAGCCAGTGTGACCTAGCCCTTTGCCTGGGTCACGAGGAAAGAATAGCCAGAGGAGGAAGCCATACAGAACCTGCTAAGCTAACGCCCACACTCCCTCAGATGCTCAACTGAGCAACTATTGTGTATATGGCCTGAAGTCCTGGGGCTCTGTCCGCTCCCCCTGAAGTCCTGGGGGGACAGAACCCCCACACCTACAAAGGTAGGCAACCATCACAGCTAAATGGAGGGGGCCAGAAAACAAGTCCAAGAACAAAGGAAATTATTATGCAGTCTGCTAGAAGGGAGTAAGTACTCTGGAAAAAAGAGCAGAGTGGAGGGCGTCAGGGTGCCAGAAGAAGGAGGGCTTGGTTCAGAGAAAGGGGGTTTCTTAGCTGGGAGTATTGGGGTTCAAGACAGGTTCTGAGGATGAGGGTAACACCCTGGAAATGGGGTGGACCTAGGATCTGGTTTCAAAATCCATCTCTTTTTGGCTGCTAACCTTGGATTAACCTCTTTATTTGAACTCCTGGCCTGTAGGAACACAACACGTCCCTTTCTGTTGGCAGTGATCCACTGGGAGTTAGCGCTAGGGCTATGGTGTCCAGTCTTCATTTGAATACACAATGCTTCCAGCAGTGTACATGGTGGGTAAGAGGGAAGACAGAGCCAGACTGACAGGGCTTCCACCCAGGCTATGCCCTTTCCCACTGGGAGCCTGGACAAGCTGCTTTACTTCTCTGTGCCTCAGTTTCATCATCTGTGAAATGGTTACAGTGAGGATGGTATGAGTCACCTCCCATAAGGGACTCGGAGCACTGCCTGGAAAGTGTTAGGCACTCTGAGTGTTGGCTGTTATCAGTTATTAAACGGATGACCCTGGCACATTTCTGAACCTCTGAGTCTCCATTTCCTCCTTTGAAAAAGGGGCTCACGATCTCCACCTCAGCAGGTTAATACAATGATGGAATGCAACACTACACATGCATACGCAGAGTTGCAGGCAGTATGCACAATGATACACAAGTCTCACAATTTGCACTAGAGGTAGGTGCTATTGCTATCCCACTCTACAGTTGGGGCAGCTGAGGCACAGACTGGTCATGTGAGATGATCTGGGTCACACAGCTGGCCGAGAAGCACAGCCAAGTTCAAACACTGAGCCATGTGTCCTTCCCACACTTCAGGGCTGCAGTACACCCCAGTCCTTGGGTGCAGATGACATCCTCCTGTCCACATCCACTCTTTCCACCCAACATTCTATTTGACTGCCTCCACCACAGGTCCTGCACACCCTGCACTGGGCCTGGAAGACACACCAGGCCCTGCTTGCTCCCAGCTTTCCACAGCTCCTCCTCTGTCTGCCAACAGACAGATGGGAGGCAACATCAAATTTCAACCTTTGCACTGGGAGACAGGTATGAGTTGTTACATTTTGCAGCAAAACCAAGGCTCAGAGAAGTGAGGTGATTATGCCAGGACAATCCAGCATGAGGCAAGTGACTCAAACCTGGGACTGCCTGACCCTCCTGCCTCCAACTCTCACCTGCAGGTGGCAAAGGACCCTTGCAGGCCTGTGCACGTCAACTCTTTCTACCCGACATTCTGGGGGTTCCCCCTGTGGCTTCCCAGTGATGACAAGAGAGCCCAGTCCTTGCCCAGAAGCCCCAGGCCTGCATGGCCAAGTCCTGCCTTTTTCTGGGCAGTCACACTGGGCACTTGGTTTCCTACCTTCCTCCAGGTTTCCTCTGGTCTCCTGGATTTTGCTCCTGCTGTATCCTCTGCCTGGAACTGTGTCTCCTCCAGGTCTCTCTGTTGAAATCCCACCTCCCCTCACACCTAACTAACCAAACACCCTAACCTCAGAGAGGCCTTCTCTAACAGCAAGGCAGGACCCATTCTGTACTCTCATAGCTCCATGTGCCTTTTTAAAAGAATAAAAGCAATGTATTTCTTTGTGGTCAAATAGACATAATATGAAATTTACCATTTTAAATGCATAGTTCAATACACTCACATTAGGTTCCCATCTGCCTCTAGAACTTTCCGTCTTCTCAATTTGAAACTGTACCATTGAGCGCTAGCTCTCCAAGACCCCCACCCCCAGCCCTGGACATCACCATTCTACTCTCTGTCTCTAAGAGCCTGAGCACTCCAGGTACCTCACAGAAGTGGAATCTGACAGCATTTGTCCCTTTGTGACTGGTTTATTTCACTTAGCAAAAAGCCCTCAAGGCTCATCCATGTTGCAGCATGTGTAGGAAGGTCCCTCCTTTTCAGGTTGAGTACTGCCCACCGTCTGTACTCCCGTGAACTCTGGCATCACCATTTGTGGTCATGTGTGGTTTGTCTGGCTGGTGACTGTGCTCTCTGCCATGGACTGTGAGCTCCAGGAAACAGGCCCACGTCACTCATGCACACTGCTGAATTGTCCCCATTCCCACCCCCTGCCTAGAGAACTCTGTTTGGTACAAAGAAGGGGCTCATTACAGATTTGTGGAATGAATGGATGAATGAATGAATATTCTGGATGCTGCCCAGGCTCTACCTTCACCCTGTGCATTCACTCTGCCTGGGTGGCCTGAGCAAATTCAATTTCAACTGCAGACTCCACTTCAGCCCAGGCATCTGGTCCTGCCCTGAACCCACAGGTTTGAACTTCAAGGCACCATCTCATCCCAGACATGTCCCTTCCCTGTGCCCTACCTTTCCCAGCCCGGGGCCCAGGTACAGCCCTGTCTTCCCTCCCTTGCCTCCTACAGCCCACCACTTACCATGCCTGGCCTGCTGAGCCCACCTCTTCATGTATGTCCCAGCTCTTCCTTCCTGCAGCCTCAGCCCCTGCCTGAGTTTGATGGTCCTGGCCCTGGCCTCATCTTCTGCCACTCACTTTCCTAGCAGTCAGACAGACTTCCTAAAGCATAAGTCTGGCCACATGCTCACTATGCTCAAAGCCCCTCACTGCCTCTTCAAGACCCCAATGGTCCAGGCTCTCCTCCTGGTGTTCAAGGTTCCCACGGTGTGGCCCTGCTGGCTCCTGCCTCCCTCATATTCCATGCTGGCCACATGGGCATCTGTATGTGTCAGGTCACTTCCTGATGCAACTTTGCAAGTGTCCCTGCTGCTGAAAAGGCAGGTCTTGGTGACAGAAGCAGACATCTCCTCCAGAGAGCCTTCCCTGACCCCACCCTGAGCAGGTGCCCTCCAGGCTTCATATACCCGGCTTGTTCTCACCAGGACTGAGAGCTCCTGGGCAGGGGCTCACCTCTCTTTCTCATCCCTAGGCTTCCTGCACCTGGAACAGGGCCAGCTCACAGCAGGTGACCAACATTTCATTCCAGACAATGAATAAAACAGAGAGGTATGCTGAGGGGGTGCACAACCCTAGCTTAGGTCCAGGGCTTCTGGGAGGGACAGAAAGGACAAGAGGGTAGGAACTCCTGCCCTGGGCCTCACTGGGCCCCTCCATTCTCTCTTTCCCTAGAGAGGTCTTCTTCCTCCTCTGGGGCCACATCAGGGGTTCTCCCGAAAGTCACAGCTCTCTGTCTTTGGCCCCTTGTCTATGATATGTGTTTGTCACCATCTTTCTGACTATCTTCCAGACTCAGAATGGCACCACCAGGGCCTAAGTTGTGGGCCTCTCACCTGCATCAGGGTACGCAGCGACTCCACATATGACTGCTCCGTGTCCAGCAGGGTCATGGTCACGTGCTTCCGCATGTCCTGTGGGGACAGGAAGAGAGGGTGAGCAGTGTCTTGTTCCACTTGGGACCTGTCACCTACAGCCCAAGAGAACCCATCCATACCCTCTTCCTGGCCTTTAGCCCCCAGGGCTCCTGGTTGTTCTGACACGCCATCCTGGACCCCACACTGCCAGGCTTTTTCTCGGGAACTCCCCCTGCAGGGAATCCCCCCTCCTGCAGCTCAAAGGCACCCCTGCCCAGAGTCAGGCCCACTCCTCCTATGCCCCCATCACACAACAGCTGTAGGCAGTCCTAAGACCTCTCGCTTACTTTTTGGCATCCCTGATAGTCTCTTGAAAAGGAATGACATTTGCAAAGGTAGATGCCTCTAGCTACCAACTCTGAAAACCCTACCTTCCTGCTCACTGTTATGGACATGCCCCACCTGGCTGAGCTATACAGCATCCCTAGAGTACACACACTGTCACCCCTTGCTACAGATGAAGATACGGGGCCCAGAGATGTGAAGTCGGTACCACAGATCACACAGCTGGGCAGTGTCAGGGTTCAGTCACTGTCAGATAAGGCGGGGTACCAATTCTCTACTAAAAGTTACTGAGCTCTCCTGCTGGTCAGGCAGGCACTATTCTGGGCATTTTATGCTATCTAACCCTCCTGATCACCTGGACATAGACGTTGTTATTCTCCCCATTTTAGGAACGGGGAAAAGGAGACCCAGCCACTGAGACCTCTAACCTGAGGACCTGCACTAGTCTCCAAGGAGGTGTTTAATCCCAAAGGATAAGGTATCCAACCTGTCAGGGTGAGCCCTGTCATATGGGAAAGATTTGCTGGAAGCTGGCCTGGGAATATTGTCTTCATGTTTAGCCCCCTGGGATAGAGGTCACCTGCTGCCCACTTCTCTGCTGGGAAGCCTTCCCCACAAGGCACCAGCCCCAACAGCTTCCCTTCCCTAGTGGGGACTCATCACTGACTCCCGAGTCCCTGTGGTGATCCTAGGCAAGGCCTAGAACCCCTGTGGAACTTACTCTTCTGGCTTAGTCTCCCTTTCCATTCCTTTACAGGTCTCAGCCTGGCTCAAGCATCTGCCTGGGCCTTGCCTGGGGAGGTGCTGGGAGAGAGGCCATCAAAGCCTGCTGACTGGAGCAGACACTCTGCACATCACACTGTCAAGATGGGATGGCCCTGATCAGGGTCTGTCTGCTTAGTGGGAGTGAGCTCCGGGCCTGCCTAACACAGCCACTGCTGGCCTTTTTTGCTCCTAGTAAACTTACCTCAGGTCCTCCTCCCTCTGACCCAGGGACTTGGGAGTCAGGCCTGTCTTCCAAGGTCCTACAATGAGGCACACTCAGAAATAGGCTCCCATGCTAGGACTCGGTGATGGGGATGTGAATGACAACCCCCGTGAGACACAGGAGGAGCTTGGTTTGTCCCTCCCTTGCCAGTCCTGTGCTCTGATGTTCTTCCCACGCCCTGCCTCAGTGCCCCCAGGTACAATCAGATCATTCATCCTTCCTCAGCCTTTAAAAATCAAAGCGGCTTCCAGTAGAAGGTGTGTGAGCTGAGCCCACCGTCCATGGACAGAGAGCATGGATACACAGCACCAAGAGCCAGAAGGGCCTCCCAAGTAAAGACCCAGACACCCACTCTTGCCCCTCTGGGACATTTCAGCACCTCACAGACAATGAGGCCGTGTTTCAGCCTCATTCACAGCTCCATAACACAGGTGTCATCCCCGCTGAACAGATGAAATGAGCTGGAGAGGTGACATGACTTGCCCAAAATCATTCAGCCAGTGACCAGCAGAGCTTGGATCAGAGTCTCTTCAGCCACCTCATGTTTAGCCTTAGGACCCCAGCACCCCAACCCAAGTTCTCACTTAAGACTAACAACTCACTGGGCAGCCTCAAACCAGAGGTCCCCCGGCTCTGCCCTTCCTGTCTACATGAATTTGGTGGTCATCTAACCACCCTGTTTTTCACACTCTCCTCTATGAAATGGAGCTAATAACAATCCCTTGCTCCTAGCATCGTGAAATCACAGTGATGGGGAGCAAAGCAGGGTCCACACGCAGTGGTCTTCACCGGCCATTCACATTCCACTTTGGTGAGACTGCACAGGGAGCTTCCTGACAGCCAAACAACCAGGCTCAGCCCTAGGCTGCTTGGCCACCATCCCCCATCCACAGTCTGCCAACCAGGCCCAGCAGGCACTGTGAGGGTCATGGTCAGGAAGGCTTCCTGAGAGGCAGGACTGGCATTGGGCCTGCTGGCTGGGAAGCTGGGGGAGCCCAGGGAGGCTGACGCTGCAATGCTGCCTCTCCCAGCACCCTCCCACTGCAAAGCACAGTGGGCTGTCATTCAGCTGTCAGGTAAAGGCACAGAAAACAAGGCCAGCTCCCTGTCACTGCATGGAGCACCCTCTGCACGTGCCCAGACACGGGAGCAGTGCATGGGGTGGGGAGGGGGGGAGACACAAGAAGCAGGAGACAGACGACGCAGCTGTCAACCAGATCAGCAGGCCCACCTGTTCTGGGCGGGCCAGCCCTGTAGGCCCAGCTTCCCTCCAGAGTTTCTCACCCCTCAACAGCCCCATCTCCAGACCTTTACTACACAGGGCCCTGCCATGGGGATGTGGGAGGTGGAGGCAGGGGGGGACAAAGCAGGAAGACGAGAGGGGACCTCTCCTAGTATGATTAGGGTCATTGCAACCCAAACACTGAGACCCTGATGTACACAGCATGAAGACAGACATACATGCATGGAGAAGCCATAAAGGCAAGGCACCCCACACAGACAGAAATACAGCCCAATTATTCAGCAGAGAGCCGGGCCCTCTAGCCCAGAGACTTGTGGAAGCAGAGCGGGACACCCAACATGGCACGGCACCTGGAGGATAGAACCACAGCCCCCACCAGGTGGGGAGCATGGAACAATCAAGAGTCCAGGCCCAGAGAGAAGCACAAACACAAGGCAACAGCCCTAGAAGCCACCCCCTCCCCCACGAGGAACACACACTGAACTAAGAATGGGGACAACACGGGTCCCCACTCCAGCATGACATCTCTGAGACCCAGCAGGTCCACTGGGGAGGAGGCAAAGGGGAAGCAAAGCTGGCTACCCCCTAGCACATATACACACCTGGGAGGGGGCCGCAGGGAGAGGGAAGCTAGAAACCCTTCCCCTCCTGAGCCCGTGGACACACACGCACAGGGCACACAGGCGACAATCTGCTTCCAACCTATCCACTTCACAAGTGACACCAGGGCTTGACCCTTAACGCCCTGCCAACCACACTACTGTGGATCTGCCAGGGCCCCTCACCCTCAACCTCCCTGACCCTCCTCAGGCTGGTCATCCAACCCCAAGTCCTGTGGCCAGGTGGCCCAGTGCCTCCCTCATCCGACTTCCAGGCCCTATGTGCCAGCATCTGCCCACGCCTCTCTGGGATCTCCCGGGACCACTGCGTCCTAGGCCAAGGCCCAGTCCTTGGCCACCCCTCCCCTTCCCGTACCTGGGCCTCCCCGGGCTCCTCAGCGCCATCGCTGCCCCCAGCGGGCTCCCCGGAGGCGGCGGCTGGGCCCAGATCGCGCATGTCTTCCAGCGCGATGGTGAACTGGGCCAGGGTCTTCACCATCTGCAGCATGCGGCCGGCCCCTCCCACCTGCGCTCCTGCGCTCCTCCAGGGGTTCAGCCCCACCGCGATGGCCGTGGTAATGTTAGTCCCCGGGTGGATGCGAGCGCGCACGGCAGCGCGACCGGCCGGGGGTGGCGCTGTGGCCTCCTCCGCGCGGGGCGGGCGCCCGGCCCCGCAGCCCCGCGCCGCCACTGGGGGAGGGCGTCCCCGCCCTCTCCGCGCCGCCCCTTCTCCTACCACACGCCCAGAGCGGCGCAGCCTCGCATCCCCGCCTGAGGTGTCGGCTCGGTTCGCGGGCTCTTCCCTCCCGGGGGGCACGAGTCATGCACACCTGTGGACAAAGGAATGTACGCGGCGAAACGCATCTTCTGTGCACATCGGTACACAACGTGGATACAAACAACCCAGATTTACACGTGGGGCTTCGGACACACACGGGCACGCACACACCTACACCAAACACGCCTGTGCGCAGTATGGGTCCCCGACAAGTGCACCCATACAGGTCCTAACCCTGATGTATTACACCTGAACCCGACCCACCGTTGTCACAGTGATGTGGGTTTTCCAGTTCTACAGTCTTGGAGGACACAAACTGGCACCTATGCAGGCAGTTATTTAGGGACATGCTGCACGTGCCCATCCCTGGAAACTCCTGGCTCTGCACTGGGAAGATTTGGGGGGGGGGGGAGCTGTCACTAAAAGTGCCCACCTTGAATCACCCTATCCCTAATCCCAACTGCACTCAGCTTGGTCAGTGCCCTGTACCTGGCACAGTCCTGTCCCTCTTCACCCCTTGAGCCACCATGGGGAGGGGCTCTAGCACTTACATCCCTACCCGCACCAGACTGTGCTCCCCAATGTCTCCAAGCAGGATATTCAAATCCCAGGGCAAGGCCAGAACCTGTAGCAGGACTGCAGGGATGTGATTGGGGGGGGAAGGGGGCGACTTCATTTGGCAACAGTTCCCTTTGGGTTCAAAAAGAGGTTCTGACACACCCTGAAGCTGTGCTTCCTCCCTGGCTACCTTCACCTCCTGGGGGCACTGGGGGCTGTCACACTCTCTAAACCCCTGCTGACTCCCTCTCCAAACCTGTTTGCCCCTACTTTTCTTGCAGTGGGAATATTCTGAGCCTCATCAACCTGAGCCAGGTCCATCAGAGCACCACTCCTGCCTCTCCTTTGATATGCCCCTGCCACTTCTGTTTTGATGCCTAGAAGCAGACAGCTCTCCACTGCCTCAGGGCCTTGGCCTAGGACTTTTCTTCTCCTTTAAAGACCAGTATCTACACAAATGTCACCTCCTCAAGGAAGTCCGCCCTGATCTGCGGATTAGGTTGTATGTTCTCAAAGATCTGTTTCCCTTCCTTAACCAGGTACCAC